AGGGGATGCGCCGCGTGTAATTTGACGTTTAGCGATTTAAACGTTTGTCTGTGATCACCGCGACGCATCTATAATCTATGATCTCTCTGTTTCTCTCTCTTATTTTCTCCCTTCGAAAGGCACCCTGTGCAACGCACGCACGGCGTCCAAAACGCAGCTGCCTCTCTCATCGTCGACCGGAGGATCCCGGCGAATCCCCAGTACGGCGTGGCGGGCGGATTCCCTTTCCTCCACCCTTTTTCTCGTTCGTGTCCTTTTTCATCGTTCCGGCGCTCTCCACGCCTGGCGGTGTGCCCGGCGCTATCGCCGGTGCAAATCAGGACTCCGGTCTATTCGTAATGGGAGCAACGTTTTGGTCGTGTTCGAGCGGTCCGCCAGATTCCCTCGGATGGAAATGGAAATCAAATTACTGGGCTAGGTGCACCACCAGTGAACGACCGGTCTCGCGCCGAGTGAATGACCACTGAATCTATGCTTATCTCTTCGCGGTCGTGCAAAACGACGTAGAATCAATCCGGACGGTGAGACGATGAAATATATGAAACATTGCGGTATATATTTTCCATCGATACCATCGATAATTGTCCCTCCACGTTGTTTAGAAATATTACAGTACTTTTATTCACGTAGATCGTATTGCACAATAATACATTAGACGCATAGTAACAGTTAGTTATTGTAAGAAGAAAATCAGTAATAATTTTATACATTGCGAAAAGTAATTTAAAAAATTTCTTCAAATTTCTGCATCCCTCTAATTACTACAAAATTACAAGCTCAATCTTCGATGAATACATTTATATCCAAGTGTAAAATATCTCACTCTTTTTATTCACTGGTGTTCGGCTTATTCCGCAGAATTGTCCGAAGGAATAATCTTCTAATCGTTTTCGTGAAATGTGTACGTTAGAACTCGAGAAAGCCCCAAGTTTCACGGGCAAGTGTTAATCTTTGCTCATGCGTTTAGCCCTCATTCGTCGAAAATAAGCGCGGCGCCTACAAATTTAGCGCGACTCGCCCGGCTTTTCGGAAATATTCCGGCGCCTCTCGCGTGGTACCAGCGACAAAAACATTCGGGCCCGTGAGAGACTGCGGCCGCTGTCGGTCCCGTCAGCGTCAATTCCGTGCGCTATGGTGCCACGGCACCTCCGGTGGGGGCGAAGGAGAGGAGACCCAGCCTGGCTTTTTCGCGACGTTAGCGTGATACCCTTTTTCGACAACGACCATCCTCCTCGAACGGTCTCGCCTCGGTATCACACGCTTCCCCCCGCTCCCGCCCGATACTCCTCGCCTGCCTGTCTACCTACCCTACCCCCTCAATCGCGGACCCGAGTTCGGCGTAAGTGCGAATTCCTCCTTTTTCTCTCGTTTTCTTTCGTTGGACGGGCGTGATTACTGGGAGGCCGAGAAGTTCTAAGCTGCTGCCCGTTCCTCTGGAGCACGGATATCTTTGCGGAGGAGGAGAGGGCGAAAGGAGGAGGAAGAGAAGAAGAGGAATACGAAGAAGAGGGAGAAAGAAGAAGATGGTCGTTGTAATGCCGCGAAGATGAAGAGCGAGAAGAAGAGCGACCGGGGCGCGGGAAGGGGGAAGGCAGAAGAGCAGCAGCGATCAGCGGAGGGACGGGGGTGTACAAGAGCAGAGGTTACTTTTAATGTCTCGCGTCACGCAGCCCAAGGCATCGTGAGCCTCGCCTCGTCCTCCTTACTAATTTGGCGCCAATTTCCAGGCAACCTCCCGAGCAAAAACTAACCGAACCATATACCGCTCTCCGCTCTCTCCTCCCCCGTCCCGCCACCTTCTGTAGTATACGTACACGTGTACCGTGCACTTCGACGCGGGGCTCTGATTAAATGCTACTCCGCCGCATTCGAGTCGTTTCCCTCTCCCTCTTTCTTTCCTCTCGCGGACCTCCCCTTCCTCTCTCGGCGGCCGCCGAGAGTCTCTCTTTCTCTTTCCCTCCTCCCCGTGTCTCTCTTTCGACGGCGCGGTTTCCCACACTGCACGGACGTTGTGATACGAGACGGCCGATCGCTGCAGCTCGGCTCGTCGCGCAGCACGTGTGCGTGCCGGCTACGAAACGGCCGGCGCGTATACACGCGGGATGATGCTCCTTTGGCCGCGCCGCTTTCCTCCTCGGATCACCATTTTTCTCCGCCGCCCTCTCGGGGCGCGCGCCTACCTCGGGAGTCGGTGCGCGAGATCGCGAGACTAAATGTTAAACGCCGACACTGGTGTCGGGCGTTCACGCACGGCGTACACGTAGAATATCTCAACTAGCTGCCGATGCGGAATTTACCTGCCTGCCTTTCGTATAAAGATAAAAAGCTGCGATATCATACACGTGTGAATTTAAACTACGTCTTAATGAAAATAATTAATTTCATGATTTTTTCAACTTTAATTAAAATTTCTCTAACTATTCAAACTATTTTCTTTAATTAGAGATAATTTCTATTTATATCAAATTAAGAAGCTTATCCAAATTTATTTTCTTTATTTCACAAAAATCGCATCCATAAAGAATTACGATTGATTCAAGCATCACATATTAAAGCAATGAGAGAATCTCATTCTGAATGTCGCTGCATCAGAGTCATCCGTGCAAGCTGCGCGATGTTAGCGTTGCCGCCTTTCAGATTCCCACACGATTCAGTTTAAGTAAGCGCCGGAAAGACGACGCCGCGCGTTGTTCACGAGCACTCGTCGATAACGCCGATCGTACGCGGCGGCCCGGTGGGTTTATGCAAATACAAATCTCAGCGGGCGTCACTTTAATGGCGGGGCGACGGGTTCGGGCAGCGCGAACGACGCCGCGAACGGAGCGAGAATCCCTTCGGATACGCGAGGATACGAAATCAGACGGTCTCAAGGTAGGCAGTCAGTCAGTCAGTCAGACTGCCGGTCAGAAAGGGCAGTCAGGATCAGGCCGAAGGAGGGACAAGGAGAGACAGAGAGAGAAAGGACGAAGGGAAGTGAGAAAGAGAAAGAGCAAGAGGAAGGAGCGAAGGGAGAATGCTTGGCAGGCATCCACGGGCAGTATATCACGTGGCAAGGATAAGTTTTTGATCGGGCCTCGCTATACGGATGACTCCCTGCTGGTTGACCTCATCACGCCACGCTATGGGGGTCTTTATAAACCACCATCGACTGCGCGTATCCTAATCACCTTTTGTCTTAAGCCTGCCAAACTCTTTCTTCGAAAGAAAGACCGGCGCGCTGATTCCTCCGTCGAAGGAATCCAATATCCGTCGTCACCACCGAACCGATAGCATTCGAGGAAGGTACATCCTTCGAGGCGCGAAAGCACGAATTATATACGAAGAGGGTAGTTTTGAGCAAATATATATATATAATGAGCGCTTTTTACTTTCGTCTTATTTGAAGACAGAAGATGCAAAACAAATCGGTTTCGTTTAAGTATTGATGGTTTTAACATAATTAAGTTAAATATATATAACATAAATAACATACAAATAAATCAAATTGAACTTTTCAAAAATAATGCAATAATATACAGTAAATTTATTTTAAAATAAAAAAAAATTATTATAATTTAATATAAAGAAATTATATATATATATATATATATATATATATATATATATATATATATATATATATATTATTATTAG